CAAAATGGACGATGAAAAATTGCTTGAATGTGTGCGCAAATATTCTGAAATTTACGATATGATCCTATTGGTCAAACTGTGTGTATGAAAATGACACATACCAACCGATGTTTAAATGGTGAATCTCACCATCATCGTTCACAGTTATCTACCGTGGGTAAATATTTGTTTCAGACAGCACGAGCGATTTGTTAGAGAAAACAACTGGCCACCGAGCTGCAGCACATAAAGCAAGTATTGCAAGACAACAAGCATCGGGTCTCGCGCCTAAGTCACAGTGACCGAGTGAAGCCGGCCACAGTCGAGCGTGTGCCTGCTGTACTAACGTTTGTCAGAAGTGTCACAGAAAAGGTTAGCTACATCATGAAGCGAGCTTCCATTAAAACATACTACAAGCCGTCGAAGAATATTAGTTAATTTTTACCATCCGTCAAGTGTAATATCCCTATACAAGATGCAGGAGTGTACAAGTTAGATTGTGAATATGGTCTCTCCTACATAGTTCAAACAAAAATATCCATAAAACCCGCGTGAAATAATATATAGCTGTCGTGAAGCACCGATGCTCCGGGAAGTCTGCAGTCTGTGAACATGCCCAAGATCGTCCCCACCATTACATCAGATTTGATAAACCACAAATCCTCGCAAAAGAACACCGATTCCTACCAAGGATAATATGCAAGGCTATTGAAATTAAAAGAATATCCTAATTTCAATAGAGAAGATGGATGGGTGCTGCCATCTGCTTGGGATCGTATAATTAACAAAATTAAATCCAAACCCATGCATACCACTGCAAGACTTCAAGATAATGTAAGCTCGTTCTGCGTAGATCGGACCGAAAATTAATATTGAAAAACTGAATGTAGCTGGGCTAACTATGACATTGCGACGTCAAAATCACAGTTCCCACCGTGGCCATGGGTGCTGTAAAGCACCCGAATCATCAGGAATAAGTAAAAGTAGTTAATTAAACGCGATAAAATCCGTAAATATAGTTTTATTCTATGTGTAGTGTTCGCGTAAATTTAAGAAATCATTATTCAATGAAAACATTTTATAAAGTTTTGAGTGTTACTTTTCATTATAAAGTTTCTCTAGTGGTAGCCTCGTATCGGTAAACGAAGTGTAGCGCGGCTCCCCACTATATTGACGACCTGATAAGAGATGCAGGAGGATGATAGATGTAGGACCAGAACTGTGCTTTGTGGCATTCCTTGGAGGTGGTCTATAATCAGCAGTAGACTTGTGAATGCCTGTAATAGATTATTATGATGTTAACGATTTATTAGACATTAACTGAGGAAATTCCAGATTAAATGAATAAATTAACAGTTACTCTTATTAACGCAATAATAATTTTGAAAGGGCTCTATTACTAATTTGTCATCAAAAGAGCCCATTAAGTTAATGGAATAGATTAATTGAATAATTGTATAAGGTACGCATAACTGTTTAATTTCATTATAAAGTTCTATTTTAAGCAAAATTGGCTTATATTTCAAATTAAACCTTTTTAGTACAGCGGGCCCCTGAGGCTAAAGACATAATACTGCCCGTAAAAAAGTTTTCAATGTTTTGTCACTAACTATAAAAATACAAAGCAATATAATACTGCTACTTTACGATAGTATTATGAAAGCGTAATCCTATCCCGGTGAAAACATGTTCATTTATTTGCAATTATGCTACGCCGTAGCATGCGCCTGCTACGTAAACACGATTCGGTACAGCTTTCACTAATCCACATACACAGCAAATTGATAATGAACTGGCTCATTTTTGAAAGGGGTTGAAGATGCGATGTAAATATTGAAAGAAATAGGCTTCTTGATTTGAAAAATTGAATAATTTAAATTGAAAAAAAAACCGTCAGTCGTGGGACTATACGTCATAAGTGAAACCTTATTAGGTTCACAAACTTGTCAACATTATTTTTGTATATTCGTATCTGTAAAGCAAGTTCAGTGCTTTTTCTCTATCCCAAAAGAGCTATACATATATGTGCCGCTCTATAAACATATCTTTATATATTTATTTGAGCGTGACGGACACGCGAGTTCAGTGTTTTTTCCCCATCCGAAATGTGTTCACCGAGCCAAAATTTTTTTCATTTGAAATAGTAATAATGATTATTGTATTTTAGACCGAAATTCCGTGGAGGTAGTCAGTCTCTACGCAGACTAGCCTTCTGCAGAGGACAGGATTGACAGGAAGAGAGGCCCAAACGCAGGGCCAACAGCTTTACGCCGATAATTTCCTGATTTTGTGAGAATTTCTTAAGAGGAAAACCCAATAAGTGTTTTAGCTTGAACCGGGAATCAAAAAACATGATCAGAAGTCGCGATTACAGCTGTCGACCAACGAGACAGAGTAATATTAAGGGTCTTAAGGTTAAGAAAATGAATTTTGTTTCTGTGTCTGAAAACTTTATGAAAGGAAAATTAATTTTTTCTAAGAACAAGGATGCAAAATAAGCACACTTTGCATCTGATGGTAAGTGGATATTGTTGCATATAGACATTTACATTTATCTTCAATTGAGAATCCAAATGTAGATTCATTGTCACCCTTGAGGACTGAAATGCAATGCCTTGTTTCCTTACTGGAAATAAGGCATTGCATTTCATGGGATCATTGCAAGGGTCTCCGATTATCTAGACTTGACATATGAAACACATTAAGTTGCTGTTTTACGCTTGTATTCTGTGAGAGCGTGGGCCTACACTGGTTGTTGGAGGACAAATGCAACGACAACGGCGGCGTCGCGGTGGTGGCATACAACACATCATTCTGGCCAGCTTGCCATTGGCACTTAGAAACCCACCGATGTTAGATGACGCAACAATAATTGCAAATACAAGATTGTTTATAAAGTAATATATTCTCTGGCGTTTGCAATTATTACAGTACATCGTATTTGCCCTACATTCGGTCCTTCGATCTAATTAACACTTTACATATGGTCATTAGCGACACAAAAGAACTATGATAAAAAGAAACTACAACTAAAAGGAGCTACAATTAACATTGCAAGAAACGAAAATAAATCAAGTTATAAAACCATTCGTCGCTGTGTGTAGACGTTGGACTCAAGCGGAAGGTTGCTATTCAAACACGTTTATTTGCATCGAATCTTCGCGAGTCATCTTCAAGAATTTACGCTTACGGCCTATTTATTTCACTAACGTAAATTTCATCAAATTAAAAATCGAAAACAATTGAGAAAACATTATCGAATAGGCACATTTGCACAAAGGACAACTTAAACCAAAAAGGGTAACTTAATTTTGTGCGTCTGGGTGCGTTTGGCAGAAAAAAACGTATATATATCACTTATTATTTTCACTTACATTTTTTCGCATTTTAGCTGAAACTGAATCAGGCTTTGCTTTACGCATCTATTTATTTACGATAATTATTCCTTTACATCGCCAAATTAAATATTATTAGCATTAAAATTCACTATTTTATTCCATAATTTATTTAACTATAATAATTTATTAACTATATGGCTGAGTTTACGCTTAGAAATTTTATCAAAAAACGCTCAGCAATAAAAAGAACGCTTACCGTCTATTTAAATTATCTTAAAATATATATAAATTGGAACTGTTTTTGTAATTTACAATTGACTGAGTTAGAGAATCGGTTAAATAAATTAGAATTGTTATAAAGTGACTTCTATTAATTGCAAAACATGATCAATATAATTTCAAGCGATCAATCAGACAACGATACAATCGAGGAACATGAGCGATTTGGCAACCATACTACCGTACAACCATTTCTACACATTAGTAGCCTATACTGGTACTCTGCTTGTATCAAATCGTCAGCAAGAAAAAGATGAATCTGTGCTGAACTGGATTCTGTTAAGGATTTTGGCTTAAACATTAGCTCAACTTTGAGCTGGCATGCCATAATAATAAATTTTACAGGTACTCTGCGGGCTATTTATCGCCTGAAATTCTTTCTTCCAGGACCCTAGCATCAACTGTGTAATCCTTAATTTTTCCCCTGATTGATTACGGTGAAATGTGTTATTTTGACATTAATGCAGTCTTCTTGACAAATATGATCGACCGAAGAAAATCGAACGATACAAATATGAATATGATATCCTCTTAATATTTGCATTCGAATCATATTTCGGTATTATTTAGGTAGGGATGACCATGAGTCTTCTTCGTTTCCAACAATCATCAGTAACGAAGTATGCACGCCCTCACAACTCTATACTCCAATACGATGTCTTCTATTCCCACTCTTACTTAATTCCTCACGTTCACTACCTTTGCTCTAATAATGACAGAAACCTAGGTGCTTCGAATACGAATTTACTCGAGTGTCCCGCTCTTTATTCTATCTGGCTTTCTGCATTCGTTTTTTTTTGCTCTATATAGTCTGTTCCTCTGAAAAGCACTCCCTATTAAATTCAAACGGTTATCACTCGTTGTGTATTCAAGAAAAAAGTTCGCGAACATATTTAAATAAGCAGTCATGGTTATCTCAATTGAGCCACTACATTTGTATTTATATAAATACTAGTCGGCCAGGCATTCTATTTTCTGCCCTTTTCGACGACCCCTTATCCTTTAATTTTTTTTAAATTCGCAATAAAAATGTGTGTCACTTAACGGGATAAAAGCTATCCTCAAGTTGGAGCAAGCAATAGACATTTACAAAATTTCTTTAAAATCGGTGGAGTGGTTTCAGAGATCATTGCGAGCAAACAATGTCACATTGTATTTTTATATATGAAGACGCAGTAATATAGTGTTTTAAAAAATATCTTAAAATTATAAAAAATCACGGTTGCCCTCCTGCCTGCTAAGCGGAACAACTATGACAAATCCCTAAGAGGCAAATAATCTCCTCCCCAATCTATGGTGGAGTCCTATGTTCTATGTTGTGAACATTTATATCTGTAATGGATGGAATACATGGGTATCTTAAAAGATGTATTTGCTACATAATATTTTGTTTTTTTTTTCCAGATTACAGTAACGCAATCGCTCCTGTTTAGCGGCAACAAAAGGAAAAGAGAGTGGTACTTCCCCAGATGGACTTTTGGCTAAAAAACGAGTCCTATCACTACACATTATATGTATGTCATTGCTCTAAACTTGCTTCCTAGGTAACGAGTTACGAATTTTGACAGTGAGCTATATTTATTTTACTGTCATTAAATATCTTATGTGTTACCCGTGTGCAATCGGCCGAGATATACACGCGCTTTATAAACATAGTTTATATTTTTATAAATATTGGGTATCATTTTGTTCTTCATTTTGACGAAATTTCATTTTGTTATGTCTACGGATAGATTATACTACGTAAGAGTAAAAGGTGGAATATTTTTTTATTTCACGGACACTAAACTTCAAAGTAAAAAGAACGAACTCGTGACAAGCAGCTTAATGGACTCGTTCGTCAGGCTTTCGGTTCTCTGACATTTTCCGGGTGCAAAGAGTAAAAGTACGCCTCTTTTACATGGACATATAAAATGAACGTGGCCAGAAAATAAAAAACTGCAATGTTCATAATATACTAAGAATTGCTGAAGCGACTCCGTGGCTTAACAATTAGTTGCGGCGCTTATAGGCGCGGGTTCGATGCCCGGTCAGAGCATGATTAATTTTCAAATAATTGTTTCGGATCTAGATGTTATCTTTGTGCAATTTATGTATGTGATTCGCCTCCACTATACAAGAAAAATAGTGTAAGCATAACTTTTTTACTAATAAATAATGTTCTTTTTAAAAAATATTCTTTTCAAAAAGGATTTCAACTTATTGGTTATTACTGCTTCACATATTTATTTAAATCTGTCTAATCTTTAATTAAATGTATATTTTCACTTGAACCTTAGAATTTTTTGAAAAAGCTTCCGAAAAAAATACGTCTATAATAAATTGGTTTAAATCTAAAAATATAGCTTTTCCCATACATATATTTTCATAAATGTCCAACTTACGGTCGCTAAGCTTACTATTTATCTCTATACCACCCGACTTCTATTCGAATATTTATTAAGTAGGAACATGTTCATACATTTTTAGTGAATAAAGTTCGTATCAATTAACCAACCGCGTAGTGGTGGTGTAAGAATACCAACTACCCCATGTCGTCGCTTCTAATAAAACCTAATCTTTGATTGCAGATGTTCATGAAGTGCAATAGTCTCCTAACAGCAACTGGACTATTAGCTTGTTTTCACACCAATATTATAAAAAATACTTTTATTTATTTATGTTTGTTCTCGTATCATAGCAATACTCGATCCATTACTGTAAAATTTTTGATTATAATACTACAATTTCTGTACTGAAGAAAATAAATGATTGCTTTATTTTTATTTAAAAATATCGTATCATATTCTATGTTAGAAAGGAAGTTGATTCAGACGGACGATGGAATTTTGCATATTTATGAAATTAACGGTCGAATGCCCTGCTGTTGTCGGTGGCTGAACATGTTCGCCAGCGTGTGGTTTTATATGGAAAATTAATTTATATAACATTGAAAAACTAATTCTATATGGTTCATAGTATAAATTTAGTAAATGAAATTATCAAATAAATGCTGTAATGGTAGTGGATAGTCCTTTTCATTGTGTTGTTAATGATATTTGTGAGAAATCGATAAAACCTGATAAATTACGTTAAGCTCTCTTACATGATTTTCTACACTTAATGGAACAGTTAACAATTAGTTCATGTAACAGCAAATAATAAAGTGAATAAATAAGCAGATAGATTGGCTTAATAAGACAATAGAAATGAATTAGCACTCGATTACTTCCAAAACCAATGCCGCCACATCTTACCGTATTACAAACATACGCAATGTATAATGATTTCTAATGTTTCACATTACACTGCTTGGCGAGTTTGTTAACGTCACGTGCGTCGCATATTACGGTAAAACAAGAGTAGCAATGGTAATTGTATAATACGAAAAGTAATAAATGAAAGTTTACAAAGATAAGTGTCATAGTAAAGTATTCATCTAGATGTAAATTAGTCAAAACAATGATAATTAGTAAACAATCAACTTACCGATAAGATGTTATGTATTTATTCGTTGAACTACACGTTTTTGATGAGTTTTTTCAACTGATTATGCTGCAGTTCACCATTATAAATTTATAATAACATAAATTCACGTATGCGGTTCTCCGCGCAACTAAATCACAAAATGGTGAATGATGTTCATCAACACAAAATGGCGGCGACAAGGTCACGCGTCTGTGAGACTTCTATTGTCTTATTTCTATTGTTTTATTTTATACGTGGTCGAGCCATGCTACAGTTATATTAGAAGCACAGTTGTAGTACGAATGGGTGGCCTCAACCGGGGAAGGACTACGCTCGCACAGAATACCAGCGTAAAATAGTAGCTTAATGCTGCTGTGTTTCGTATAGTGAGTGTAGAGAATCGGAGACCCTTTTTACTGGAATCGAGGCACTTCATCTTAGTCCTTACGGGTGACAACGCATCTGCATTTTGATTTGCAATCGAGGACAGATGTAGATGTCTATGGGTCGCAGCAACCACTTACCATCAAGTGGACTGTGTGCTCGTTTGTCACCCCATTCTATAAAAAATATTTTTACGATTTCTTTGGGTTTTCCACTCACTTAGCGTTGAGGCACCACAAAGGCTGTTTCTGCAGCTGACGCCTTGCTTGGAGAAGAAACACGTGTCACATTATCGATGGTGGTGTATCCATCCTCGTCTAGTGGTGTTGAGATTATTTGTGGAGCTGGTAGTGAACGTAAATGTGGAAAAAAGAAGAAAAATCATAATTAATTTCACGCGTATCTTATGAAATTGATTTTAACATCTTAAATTAGTGATGATTATGGTAGAGTGACGCTGAAACAGGAGCTGGTCGGCTTGATGGGAGAAGGACCACAATCATACAGAATACCAGCGTGAACAAGCAACGTAATGCATCTGTATTTTGTGCAGTCCCGACTGCTATTGGGTGACCTTGGTTTAGTGGTGAACTTTTGTTAGTCTGTAATGAAATATTGGCGAATATCATAAGGTGTTTCCGACCCTTACAATAGTCACCTCTTACGGCACCCATGACACAAAATACGTTAATGAACTATCTTACGTTAGCACACACGGCATGTCTAAATAGCATGTTTTTAATAGAATAATGGTAACAAGTAAGCACACAGTCCATCTGATGGTAGGTGGATGATGTGGCTCATGGACATCTACATTTATCCTTAATTAAGAATCAAAATGCAGACGCATTGTCACCGCTGAGTGTTAAAATAGAATATCCATTAAAAAGAGTCTCCGGTTCTTTATATTCACCTTTAGAAACTCAGCAGCATTGAGCTATTATTTTACGCTTGTGTTCTGTGGTCACACCCTGGTCGAGCCGACCCATTCGTGCTACAACGTTAATATAGCTACAGCGTGGCTGTACCACGTAAAAGTGTAATGTATACAAATTGTACACAAATACTACCTTTAACTTGAGAAACGGGAATAAACGTAAAAATTTCTTCAAACTTATAAAAAATTGTACAAAATACGTGCAAACTCTGCGCGTGCCCGCTACGAACTTAAAACGTTATTACGTTCAAACTTTTGCGGAACGTCTGCAGTAGGGAGTTTCCTAATGGAGTGTAAAACACAGACGTGTCGCTGAAATAACTTCCTTTAAAAGAACAAACACGTTGAACTTCACTGAGTGATCTGCAAAAAAATGGAAGAGAGTGTGTTTTTCGTTCGCATAGTATAATCGTAAAATTCGAGTCACAGATATAAATCGAAGTTTAATTTTAAATATTTTTAAGTAATCGGCCTTTCCAAACCAATTTTTGAAGTTACAAAAACTACGTCATACTCAAGATCCGTTGCGAAAAAAGAGGGGGTAAGAAACTAACCACTTGACTATTTTTCTCCTCATAGGTAGGATTAAACTTTAAACGCGAAGCAAGAAAATTTAAGAAGTTCATTATATCCCAACAATCTGAACTAGTAAATAAACATCTAATTTATGATAGACTTTATTATTAGAATATTTCCAATCACTGTAGATATATGCGCTTGTTACTCAAAGGGTGTTAAACGCCAATAGACAGAGACTACGGACTCACCTCTACGTCCTCCTTTTAAGGAGACACCCCTCTCTCCTCCTTTACATTCATATATGAACTTAAGCATAAAACACGCTAGTCGATTAAGTTCATATTTAGTTTGTCTCATTTTAAATTTATAGCCAATGCGGAAGATAAATTTCCGTCTAGAGCGTCACTTACCGACTCTGCCATTTACTTCTGCAATATAACTTTTTCTCTCTTAAGATACACATACAAAACAAACACACTCATAATTTTACAATGGATACAATATATTCATATAGAGAACGAAGGACTGATGTTTGTTCAAGTTACCTTAGATTTGTATTCAAGCCAGCCTCGGCATCTTGCGTTAGGTCTTGGTTAGCGAGGTCACTTTCGAGAGGACCAAGGAGCTCGCCGAGCTTGGGGCGGAAGTTGTCGTCGCTAAAATCCACGAGTTGGGATTAGAAATAACGCCTCTTAAGACCGAGGCCCTATGGTTCCATAAACTACGACGCGGCGGGGAACCATCCGACTCATGCATCCGCGTGGGTAGGTCTGAAGTCAGAGTGGGGCGTTACATGAAGTAGCTGGGCCTCCACCTCTAAAGTCAATGGGGCTTCAAAGAACACTTCGAGCGCTAGTCCCCCGGATTGAAAGGGTGGCGGGTGCTATGCATAGACTGCTACCCAATCTAGGGGGACCGACAGAGGAAGTACGTCGCCTCTATGCGGGAGTTATACGGTCCGGAGCTCTGTATGGAGCCCTGTATGTGCAAAAAGGCTGGCCATTCGACGCTGTAAAACTAAAATATACAGTGTGCAGCGGAGGATGGCTGTACGGATCGTACGAGGACACCGCATTTATATCTTTTGGGGCGGCGACAATCATGGCTCGCTTTCCAACACTAGATATACTGGCGGAGATGGGTGCAAGGGTCTACATCTGGATTCGTGCCCTCCGTCAGAGCGGTGGTAGTGAGCCAA